TATTTTAATTATAAATGTATATATTTTCATTAATTCTAAAAATTTAAAATTTAAATTAATTTCAATACGAGAGAAATGTTGGAGATCATTTTTTACATTAACATGGAATGAAATGAAATATAAAAAATTGAACCACCACTTTACACACACTTCCAACTTTTCATGACAAGCTTAATTTGTACACCATAAAAAGAATAAATAATCTTTGAATCTGCAAGTCCAGCTTCATCATCAGTGAATGGCTATGATGTAAAGTAGCTGGGTAAATGAAAGGATGATCATAAATGCTTCCATTGTTTTCTGCACAGACACAATTTGAACATCAATTTCAACCCACAATCACAAACAGAAATAGGAATATGAATTTCGACTTACCAGCCGAACATTTCTAACTTCGAGCTCAATTTGTTTGCAAGCAAATCTACAACAGCAAGGAAGATATTTAGTACGAAAACAGAAGAAAAAAATTGTGATTAATTTGGGTTATAAAATTTTAATAAATTATAGTTAAGTAAATCAGATTGACATGAGAATATGTCTCTTGATGAATATAAAGAAAAAAAACATACGCCATAGCAAGGACAGTAAGCGTCCAAGCAATGGTAGCAACAGAGGCAGCTGGGGGGAGACTGTCGGAGTTCCAAGAACGAAGGTGGTTGACACCAGAAATGGCAGATGCAACACCTACGACGCCAGCAAGCAACGCGAATGTAACAAAAAACCCAGTTGCAGCATTCCCCATTGGGAAATAAATGGGTGAGAAATGGGCTGGAAGACTCAAATCAGGTCCTGCATAATCAAAATAGCTCAGAGTAAAATGATGATTATTTTAGAAAATTAAAGGAATTATAATAGGTTTTTGAAGAATTACTATTATTATTATTACCAATAATGAAACCATGATCAATGGCTCTGTTCATTGCCCACCCACCAATGCCTAAAACTATGACATACATGCAGAAATTGAGGAACAATAGCAAGGCTACAGCAGGTTTCTTTTGCTCATTAGCCATTTTTCTTGTGTTTTTAGCTAACCCAACTTGGTTTTCTGGTGCCCTATAGGAGGCTTATATATATATATATATATATAAGGATTTGGTTATATTATATATACAAGGCTTATATATATAGACACACACACATAATTATCAGGGTTTGGTTCTTTTCTTGCTGAGGCATGTAAAGGGACATTCTTTATTACAAGGCAAAACCCTCTAACACAGTTGGAATTCTTTGCCACTTGCCAAAGCCAGAGGTTTTGTTAATTAATCATTATACTATACATATATATATATATATATATAGACATGTATGTATATATATCTCACTTTGACATGCCTTAAGCTATACTTCTCGAATAATTGGAATCAAGTAAAAGGTTTGCAGAGTTTTTCTTTTTCCCTTACAAAAAAGTATTAATTAGGTATAAAAAAAGGAATCTGGAACGTACTTTTCTTTTTTGTGGAAGAATATTGAATCCTTAATTAGCATAAAAAATTTAATATTTAAATAAATAAATAAAAATACATTATATATATATATATATATATTAAATTGTGAGCTGCGATAATGGGCCTAACTTATAAGCCCATAACTATGCGAAGAACCGCAAAGCCCAGGCCCATATATACTGGCTAAGCCATGGATCTCGATTCGGCTTCCGTTGCGGCTGCTATCGACAAAACGGTGCGTTTCGAATGCACAACCTCTGCTACATAGTCCTGCATTTCGGGATCCGACGATGATGGACCAATGTTAGCTATTCGCGCCATTTCTCAAAATTTCAACTCTCTGCTGTTCTCTACTTCGTTCCTCAATCTCCACATTAAGTTCCTAAAATCCTCTAAAAGATTCTTACGTATCACGAATTATGCGCACTATACCAGCCTATCTTACAAATTTTTGCTTTCTAATCATCTTCGCGACGGAAGATTAGACGAAGCTTGCATGCTTTTCGATAGCATAACTTTTCCTGATGTTAATCTCTATACCCTGATGATTGTTGCTTATGGTCGAAATAACAGGCTTGTTGATGCGCTGAAACTGTTCGAAAAAATGCCGATGAGAGATGTAATCTCCTGGAATTCTATGATAAAAGCTTGTTTAGATTGTGGGGATTTAGATATGGCTAGGAAGATTTTTAGGGAAATGCCAGAGAAGAATGTTGTTTCCTGGACGACCATGATTAATGGGTATTTTCAGTTTGGGAGAGTTGATGTGGCGGAGAGGATGTTTCGTGAGATGCTGGTGAAGGATGTTGCAGCATGGAATTCAATGGTCGGTGGGTATTTACAGTTTGGGAGAGTTGATGATGCTCTCAAGTTGTTTGAGAAAATGCCTTGTAGGAATATCATTTCGTGGACTTCATTGATTGGAGGGCTTGACCAGAATGGGAAGAGCCAGGAGGCTTTGTGTGTTTTCAGGAAGATGTTGGGTTCGAGTGTTCATCCCACTTCAAGCACGTTTGCTTGTGTACTGACTGCTTGTGCTAATGCATTGAGTTCCCACCAGGGTGAACAGATTCATGGCCATGTTATTAAGACGGGTTTCTGTTTTGATGAGTTCATATCTGCCTCACTCATAACCTTTTATGCTAACTGCAGGCAGATTCTATGTTCAAGGAAGGTGTTTGATGAGACATTGCAAAGGAACGTGGTTATATGGACTGCTCTTTTGACAGGTTATGGCTTGAATGGCATGCATGAAGAGGCACTTAAACTTTTCTCTGACATGATAAGAATGAGAGTGCTACCAAATCAATCTACACTAACCAGTGCCTTGAATGCATGCTGTGGACTAGAAGCTTTTGATTGGGGTAAAGAAATCCACACTGTTGTTGTCAAACTAGGTTTTGAAACCAAAGCTTTTGTGAGTAATTCACTTATTGTGATGTACTCTGAAGGTGGAAAAGTATATGATGCTGTTGCTGTATTTAAGAAAATTGATTGTAAGAACATGGTCTCATGGAACTCAGTAATTGTTGGATGTGCACAACATGGACGGGGCATGTGGGCACTGACAGTTTTTAACCAAATGGTACG